ATTGCTTGAGAGATTAGAAAGCCAGATTTTCTATGTGACAAACGTACATCGACGCCCTTCATATTTTACAGCACAAGCAACAACCTTCTTGTAAAAATTAGTCTACTAAGCATTTATGTTTCAAAGCAACTTTTTGATATGTACCCTTTAGTCCTCTGTATTCAAACATAAAATACCCTATAAAATACCAGCCCAAAACGTTATTCTATCGTAAACAGACTCCCACAAATCAACATTACATTGTAACTTAAAAGGAGACCTGTGTAATTTTAACCTTGACATGCCGTAACTGGTGCAGAAACACCGTGAACACATGTTCTAGAAAAAAAAAAATATTATTAGATAATTAGCTGTACGTTGCTAAACAAATCAACGTCTATCTGTCTGTATTTACTGTTTTCATCAGCTGGTTGAGCACAAAACATTATTATTTCATAGTGCATGTATACAACGCACTTGTCAAGATACTTGGTCCGGGTCAAATAGGGTAAATGTGTTCCCGGATCAGAGGATCCGTATGTACGCCAGCTGTCATTCACAACTCCCTGGAGAGAATACGCCTAATAAGGACGCTCGTGGTTTTTACACACACGTCAAATACCGGGTACCCATTCGCTGCTTGGTGGACAGGGACACATTTGACCTAGGAGCTAAGGCCCTTGCTCAGGATGACATCACAGGTTGCGCCACTTCCGGTGAATGAACGTCTTCGAGTTAAAACCATCACATCTACCATCATCGGATGAGAGTTCTGATTGTACAGGCAAATGTGCACCCTGTACACGAAGGGTTGTGACAACATTGTGAAGACCCTACCTTGTTGTCCAAGGGCTGAATAAGATTATCGTCACTTCTTTAAGAGGTAATTTAGATTGGTTGGTTGGTTGGTTGATTGTTGGTTGGTTGTCTCTTTATAATCGGGTCTGGACCAGGCAATCCAGTGATCAACAGCATGACCAACGATCTACGCAATTTGTATACGATGACATGTGTCAACCAAGTCAGCAAGAGACTGACCATTACTCGCCTCTTTGACAGGCATGGTTTACTGAAGACCAATTCTAACCCGGATCTTCACAGGTAAGTGGCATTTAGAACGTGTAGAGGCATCGCATAGTATATATTGCAATGAAGACGTTGTCTATCCATAAACATTATTCCTCTTCATTCTTGCCACTAGTGGGATACGATCTCATCACCCGGTGCTTGCTAGACCGCTTGCCCACCCCTTCCACCGCAAATTAATGATACGGTTCAAGATCGGCGTGTATTAGCCGGTATAATTACCTGTCCTTGTCTATCACCTGATAAAGTCCTTACACGTTCACAGCTAAATGAACACCCTTTCTGTGTTGAGAAAATAGAAGAAAGAAAAGTTCAAGCCATGTAACAAGGAGCATTAGTCTTGTATTACATTTATCAGCCGCTATCATCTGGTGTAGGGACGCTGACAGGTCAGACAGTCCTAGGCACATCAGCAGTAACAGCAGGTTGTGGCGACTCCCGCATCAGTGCTTCCCGTAATTATGGGATAAATATCACTGTGTCCTTGAAACTATTTACAATGGCGAACAACGCTGTCACTGTAGCAGCAATAAGGGCAGGCACCATCGTGGTTGTAGTCGGCAGAGAAAGGGGTATTCTCATCAATCGTACCCTGGAACACTTAGATAATTGTATACTTAGAGTGAGAGAGTAACAACGGTTTACGCCATTTCAGCAACACTCCAGGATTACTACAAGATAGGCATTTCACAATGTGTTCATGTAGGGAATCGAACCCGGGCCTCCGGGTTGACGGGCGAACGTTTGAACCACTTAGATACCCAATCGCCCTGGTATACTTAAACGTAGGCTAAACGTAAGACACTACACTACACCTTAAATAATGGTCAGGGCCTAGATTTTCGAAGCTCTCTTAGTGCTAAGATAGTCGTAAGTTAATGTTATTGTATGGCACTATCTAAGCGCTAAGAGAGCTTCGAAAATCTAGGCCCAGGGCCCTTATTCTCGAAACGTTCGTAGCCCTAAGAATTCTTAACTTTGATCGTAGCCAATGTGTTAAGAATGGGCTTAAGTAGTTCGTAGGGCTACGAAGGTTTCGAAAATAGCTAGCCTGGTTCTCGGTGACTTGGTTGACGCATGTCATCGTATCCCAACTGCGTAGATCGATTCTCTTACTATTGATCACTGGATCATCTGGTCCAGACTCGATTATCTACAGACCGCTGTTATATAGCTGGACCATTGCTGAATGTGGTGTTAACCCAGAAACAAACAAAACCAAACCTAATATAACAACTACACTTAGTTATGATTACACGGGACGTCCTGTTACACTTAAGACAGCACCCGAAAACGCATACCCAGTTGTTCAGCTATTGGCTTCCCTCCTTCAGATTTGAAGAAGAGCATGTGCAACGCTACATGAGTGAGGATAAACGTCAGAAACTGACATGGTGCAGTAGACATATATCCTATAGTCATTTTGAATCAGTTTTAGTTTTACGCCGCACTCAGCAATATTCCAGCTATATGGCGGCCTTTTGAATGAAGCTGTGCTGGGTTGTTGCTCGTCGTTGTCTCTTTGAAAGGCATGCAGTATCCCTTCTTGACACAAACTTGACGCATACATGACGTACACGACGTACATGACATATATGACGTTCATGGCGGGATCGTGGTGGCTCAACCACTGGATGCTTCACGGTAGCTATCATCTAGCTCTGACATGTTCCAGAAACTGAATATCTGAAGTTAGTGAGTGAGTGAGTGAGTTTACTTTTACGCCGCTTTCAGTAATATTCCAGTAATATCAGGGCAGGAGACACCAGAAATGGGCTTCACACATTGTACCCATGTAGGGAATCAAACCGGGTCTTCGTCGTGACGAGCGAACGCTTAACCACTAGGCTACCCCACCGCCCCCTGAAGTGAGTGAGGACCAATACACGTTAACACTGACAGAACGCAAAAACATTGATATGAAATATATTCGTAAACGTTGAGCACCACGAAATCTGAACAGTTTTCTGTCACCTTGAATTACGTCAGCTGTCATTACAACTCTACCCAGTTTCCTTGACCTGATAAACAGAGATACCGGAGAAAGGACCCGGTTGTCCTGTCGTGAAACTACTTTACCACAGGGACGTCACGACTGCAACGTACAGGGGGAATCTGGCGTGGAGAATCGCCTACCGCACCACACAAACATTCAAACACTCGGCTATCAATTATCTTAAATGTTGTGCTCTCCGCTACATACGAATAATGGGAAGATATAATCTTTTATTATTTATTATGCAGTCGGGTGTCTCCACAATAAGAGACGTTTATATATATCTACACAACACAATAAATATGTGTGAAATAAACAACATACAGTGGTAATACGTGAGCTATTTATAACGTACGTGTATTATATGAGTACTATATACAACGCCTTGCATACATACCCGTACACATACCCGTATACATACCCGTGAAGGTCTGGGTTAGAATATTCATGTTCATTAGGCCTACCCATGCTTGTCGTAAGAGGCGACTAACGGGATCGGGTGGTCAGGCTCGCTGACTTGGTTGACACATGTCATCGGTTCCCAATTGCGCAGATCGATGCTCATGATATTGATCAGTGGATTGTCTGGTCCAGACTGAATTATTTACAGACCGCCGTCATATAGCTGGAATATTGGTGTGCGGCGTAAAACTAAAGTCACGCACTCACTCACTGTTGTATACACTGTCGAGTGGTAATGTGTTTGTTATTAAAATGTAGTGTAGTGTATACTATAATCAAGTAACATGCGGTTTTGCATGTCTTATGCACCATGCAGTGGTAATAAAAGTCTGTAATTCACAACATACAATTTCAGATACCCTCTACATAGAACATGCCACATACATGTGGCTTCATGAGCATATAAATAATGTGATAAACGCAGAATCATTGATGTGGAATTGGGCGTTGACATTGTTTTCTGCCTTAGACTTTGTCATGCACCATGCATCATGCACACACACACACTATAGACGCCAGCCCAGCGTGTGAATCCATATGTGTATGCATGACCACAATGACATGTCAATTTGTTTATCAGCAATCTCGGCCTATTACGATGTGATCCCAATCTGTATGTCTGCTGGTGTATGTGAATCATGACGTGACAGTCTCAATTAGCACTGTGTGCAGTTGTTTTTGAACTACCATTACCCATTGAATCCACGTGCCCATGCATTGAATGAGCTGATTTGCGGTTAGGTTTTACGCAATATTCTATTATAAACAATGGGCACAATGATGACTCTCCTAGCACCTTCTACCATGTGTACAGATAAAGCATTTAACCACAAGGGGAACATATTCACTGACTGACTGACTGAGTTTGGTTTTACGCCGCTTTTAGCAATATTCCAGCAACATCACGGCGGGGACACCAGAAATGGGCTTCACACATTGTGCCCATGTGGGGATTCGAACCCGGGTCTTCTGCGTGACGAGGCAACGCTTTAACCATTAGGCTACCCCACCGCCCGGAACATATTCACATTCAGAATAGTAGAAGGAATGCTGTTAATGGCTTGTATACGTATATGTCGCACAGGCGATGTTGCAGACAGGTTCTACTTCATGGAAACGAAGATCATACTTTTAGGGATCATTTCTATAGTATGCATCGCCATGACTGCAGGTAAAACTGACAGTCTACCAAACCACGAGAAGCCGTCACTTAATGTACAACTGTGGCAAGAATGCCATCAATGTTGTTTTAAGTGCAGTAAGCATAATTTCATGGTCAGCTGTAGTACGTGAATCTTAATCAAGAAAAACCAGTGGTTGACAGCATGTTCCACGCTGCCGGGTTACAATGACCTCGATCAAGGTCACACCTGGTAAACTCCACATCAATAGGAACTTACGACCAACAGTGTATAGAAAACCATTTCCGGATTCCCTTGGAAGTGAGTTTAAGAGCTGTATTAAATGTACGACTTACCGCAAACAGGTGGCACATAGTGACGGACAGTCCAATGGTGAGGGGCGTGGAGCCATTGAGGTCCTTCCTCTTGGAGTCGACGGAAGCGAACACTGTGAAGACCAGAACCAAGGTAATGAACAACTCTATCCCGACCGCGCGTCCAGCGTCGATCTCCTTGCTAACTAAGGTTAGTCCAAGACCTCCTTTCTCTTGAACTTTCAGTCCGTACAACAACCCTGCTCCTACGATGGAGCCGAGAAGTTGGAAGAAGACGTAGAAGACGGCCCTCGCGAGACTGATCTTCCTCGTCGCCAACATCGCTGCCGTCACTGCTGGGTTGATGTGTCCTCCACTGACATGACAAATCATCCACACGATGGTCGCAACACTCAGACCGAAACATAGCGCTATGCTTATAACACTTGCTTCCTCGGAGACGCAGGATCCGCATCCGACGAAGACGAGAAGCAACGTTCCCAGGAACTCTGCTGCTATGGCTTTCCAGAAGCGCAGCGACTGGATGTCGTCCAGACTGGTCACCATTCTTGAAGTGGACAGGCAGGTGTCGTTAGTGCGCAAGCCGCTTGACATCTATAGGTCGCAGTCCAAGGTACTATCTCTTATCAGTACGGGGATCCCTACAGTCAGGACAACACTGTTACGAGTTGCTGCTGATCTGATTGAGTGCTGAGCCCCTGCTGCTGCGCGCTTGTTTGACGAAGGCTATGGCTCGGGCGAAGTTTTGTTAAAAGTTAAGAAAACATTGGGCGTTTGCATTGGTTCAGCGTCGGCGTTTCTCAAAGTCATCAAATACGACACGACGCGTTGTTCAAAATATTTCCACGATGTTTGCGTTCCGGTTCGAATTGAATTCCGTTTCCATTTACGACTTAGTTGTGAGAAATTTGTCGACTCATTGCCGCGAAAAGAGATTGGTTTCACTGAGTGTGGCCAAGAGACATTGGGCGTGTTAGCAACATATATGAGAGACATTGGGCGTGTTAGCAACATATATGGCCTCGGTGCATGTTATACACATGGTTATAATATATGAAACCATGCAATTACAAAACATGTAAGTATGGTATACCAGGACATAGAGATGCTATGTGTATAAGTATGGTATACCAGGACATAGAGATACCATGTGTATAAGTATGGTATACCAGGACATAGAGATGCTATGTGTATAAGTATGGTATACCAGGACATAGAGATGCTATGTGTATAAGTATGGTATACCAGGACATAGAGATACTATGTGTATAAGTATGGTATACCAGGACATAGAGATACTATGTGTATAAGTATGGTATACCAGGACATAGAGATACTATGTGTATAAGTATGGTATACCAGGACATAGAGATACTATGTGTATAAGAATGGTTTATTATGACATAAGTATAGTATATAGTATATATAAGCATATGGTATACCAGGACATATATATATAATAGGACAAGTATGGTATACCAGGACATAGAGATATAGGACATGTATAAGTATGGTATACCAGGACATGTAGATACTATGTGGGTATAAGTATATGATGTATTAGGACAGTATATACTAATTAAGTAAGTATGATGTACCAGGACATAGATATACTATTTGAGTAAGCATGATGTATTAGGACAGTAGAGATATATTTGAGTAAGTATTAGGACAGTAAGATACTATTTATTATAAGTATGATGTACGAGGACAAGTATATACTATTTGAGTAAGTGTGATGTATTATGACAAGTATATACTATTTGAGTAAGTATGATGTACTAGGACAAGTATATACTATTTGATTAAGTATGATGTACGAGATCAAGTATATACTATTTGAGTAAGTGTGATGTATTATGACAAGTAGATACTATTTGAGTAAGTATGATGTACTAGGACAAGTATATACTATTAGAGTAAGTATGATGTATTAGGACATGTATATACTATTTGAGTAAGTATGATGTAATAGGACAAGTATGTACTATTTGAATAAGTATGATGTACCAGGACAAGTATGTACTATTTGAGTAAGTATGATGTATTAGGTCAAGTATATACTATTTGAATAAATACTGATGTATGATGTGTGACAAGTATGTACTATTTGAGTAAGTATGATACTATTTGAAAAAGGACAGGTATATACTATTTGAGTAAGTATGATCTACTGGGACAAGTATATACTATTTGAGTAAGTATGATGTAATTAGGACAAGTATATTTAGTATTTGATGTAAGTATATATACATTTTAGGTCAAACAAGTATATACTATTTGAATATGTATGATGTATGAGGTCAAGTATATACTATTTCAGTAAGTATGGCGTATTAGGACAGGTATATACTATTTGAGTAAGTATGATGTACTGGATCAAGTATATACTATTTCAGTAAGTATGATGTACTAGAACAAGTATGTACTATTTGAATAGGTACGATGTACTAGGACAGGTATATACTATTTAAGTAAGTATTATGTACTGGGACAGGTATGTACTATTTGAGTAAGTATGATGTGCTAGGAGAAATATACACTATTTGAATAAGTATAATGTATTATGTCAAATATATACTATTTAACTATGTATAATGCATTTGGACAAGTGTATACTATTAGAGTAAGTATGATATATTAGGACAAGAATATACTATTTGAGTAGATATGGTGTATTAGGACAAGTATATACTAATTGAGTATGTATTTACCTACTACCTGAAGAAAAAGAAACGCATATGTCATTTTGAGACCATTGGACTCAACATATTGGACAGCAAAAACAATGAAAATATACTATTTCTATTCAAAAAGTCATCATTGTGTGATTGTAAACGGATTCAGTGACAAAACGCAGCAATTTTAACTTTTTCCCTTGTTGCAGAAGCCTTTGAAAAAATATTCTCCAAAACGTTACCAAGAAAACATGCAAAGCAAAGCACGTGCAAGTAAGCGGAAAAGCATGCGGTATCGATCACTATAAAAAGGCAAACGTGTTGAATTTTGTCATTCGTTTTTGCCTGGATAAGAGGAAATCATCATGCCACGACTGAGTGCCGCCAATCGAAACATCCCCATGGGCCGCCTTGAAGCTGGGGAGTCGCAGTCTGCAGTTGCCCGACATTTCAACGTTCGTAAGAGCACCATATCTCCCCTTAGGGATTGTTTCCTGCTGACCATCTCCGCCGAAGATCGCCCGAGAAGCGACCGTCCAAGAGTTACCACCCAAGCCCAGGACCGCTACATCCAGTTTGCTCACTTACGTCTTGCCACAGCCGTGGAGACTGCACAACGCATTCCTGGTTTGAGAAGAATTGGGATTCGACCAAGACTGACTTTGACGCCATCATGTTGACTCAGGTAAACAGAAACACAACAATAAAGTTTGGAGAACTCTTTGTCTATAGACATGTGTACTTTCACCTTTTTACCATTGAAATTACATGAAATAATTGCTTTTTCATTAACCTAATAAATTCTTCTAAAATGGCTTATGCGTTTCTTTTTTCTTGTGGAAAAGTGTAGTTTATGTTATATGTGTTAATTAGTTAATGCAAATTCCCATTTATCGCGAAAATGTATCGGCACCTGTTTATAATAGACACGTGTGAAAGAGAGATAAAAGATAGTGCACAGAGTGTGTTCAGAGGACATAATTTTATCAGACAGCGTACGATATCCAGAATTTTCCTGAGTTGCCTGATTGTAACTATATAACTTTGCGTAGAACTTCACATACATATAAATAAGTAGAGATTTTGCCCACCGAAGAAACTAAGACAGAAAGGAAGGAACAGATAAACAGAACTTATTGTCCTCAGGTATAAACAAAGTTAAGTGACGTGCCAGAACGTAAATCATTACTGACAATTATCATGCCAGTTTGGGAAGGAAGCTAGTAAATTACATGCCCCTAGAAATCCACCTGTGGAGGTTTTCAAATGTGGAAACCCTACAAAGTGAGCTCTTCCGGCGAGACATGGAAACTTGTACATCGCACAAAACGCAAAGCCCGGTAACAATATACAAAGAGAAACTTCTTTTTGGTCATTATCATTTGATTAGACGGTGCATAATATAAACCTTATTAGTTTCACTGGCACCTCATTAAACAATAGCTTAGGGAAGTTGTTAACATTGATATCCAACCAAATATTGGCGACTAAGTCATACCTATAGGATACAATAGTGTTAAGCAGGATTCTGAGATGGATATTTTATTATTCGTGTTGTGTTTTATAATTCTTTTAAAAACAAAAATGTTTGTAGACTTTCTAGACTTTAATTATATTAACAGCAGCGCTTGTGCTTGTGTGTGTGTGTGTGTGTGTGTGTGTGCGTGCGTGCGTGCGTGTGTTGCAGTGGAGATAGTATAAAGAATAATATTGACAATTTTCGTCAAGTGATTATTTTGATTGTCTTATTGGTGTAACGCAAGGGTGTATATTAAGTCCAACCTTGTTTTTCGTTTTCATTCAATTTTGATAAAACAATTATTAGACACGGCAGATATGTTATACAGCTTTATCCCAATTTATTTAAAATCCTGACTATAATCTTTTCCGATGTTGTAATCTTTATTCTCTGATATTATTCAAGTTTGAACATTAACTGATTACGTCAGATATATATACCGATAACCAAACTGTAAATAAAACCGTATAATATATCTAATGAAGTGCCCCGATAGAGCCACGAGAGCAGCGGTGTTGTAAAAGTAGATAGGTTGAGATATGACTATAAACATGTGAGTGTGTTATTTAATCATACACTCAGTGTACGTAACAAGGCCTTTGGCGGAACAGTTGGGCAAAGACAGCTGTCGTTAATGTACTTTCCGTATTGTCTAAATAAGGGATTCCTAAATGCGTACCATGTCTACGGGTCCGAAGTATGGGTTTCATTCCATCATAAAAATAAAGTCCCCCTATTGGCATAGTTTCTTAATGTTTATGTTCAAGCAGGAGTGTGGAAGAGTTTCGTTATATTTGACTTTTAAAGAGGTTTAAGGTAATGGTTGTAAATACATCCCATGTTATTATTAAAGTTTGATGCTGTTGGCAATAAAGTTCTTTGTATGAACGAATCTAGAAAAATATATGGTTAAGAAAGGGGTATTTATGTGGATGGCAGTGACAATAATATAAGATATAATACCTATAGCTTCTTTAAATCTCCACTTTGACCCGAAAATATTTAGTATGTATAACTGAAGGGATTCTACACAAAGCTTTGACAAAATTTCATCTTTTTTGCTCAAGTCTAGACATAAATGTCGTCAGTTTGTTAATGAACCTGCCCATTTAGTCAAATTGTTGACAATGGCGTTGTTGTATACCTCAACACTTTGCAGTTTCAATGTGAACAGAAAGTGTTTTTGTGACCTACTTGATATTTTCAAACACTGCCTGGTTGTTCCTTGTACATATACTCATGCCAATAATGGTTGTCACCCCCCTCCCCAACCCAACCCCACACATACCTCACACCCACACCCAACACCCCCTCTCCAATTAAAAAAAGGGGGTGACAACCATTATTGGCATGAGTATATATCATGGAATATCGTGTAATAGATGATTTGCCTGATATCAGTTGTTCAGTAAATGTTATTTGTCATATACCCATTACATGGACCGGAGGAATGACGTAATAGTTTAAACTTGAACATTTGATTTGAAAACAACATAATAAACGTCATAGAACTTTACTAGGCTAA